AACCAGATCTTTTAAAAGAGAATCAGGAGTCCTCTTGTGTTCCTAATTCTAATTGTTGATTAATACAAAATTGTATAACATGAATATTTTTGTAAATCCACAAACAGTCATTAAACATGTAGGTAACAAAGGTAAAGCTGGTCTGTATTTTGTTTTAAGCCTACTGGATGCAAGTCTGTCTTGTAAATAATGACTAAAGTTCAGGATTAGACTATGACTAAATTTTTTTCCTTTTTAAATTAGGATGGAATTCAAACATATGCAGTCTTTCTCTATGATGGGCTACCAAGGAGCTGATGGGTAACTGCAGGCTGCAAGGATTATTTGTATCAGTTACTTAGAGCTAGACAAGATGTTATATTGAATCAGGAAAAGACAGAGGAAATACAAGATTCATGAAATTTTGCAGGAGGTTGCATTTAAATGATTTTCTTTCCTTAATTGTATTTAGAAGACCCGTAAACATTTTATTTTTTTCAACATTTGCCTAGAACAGACCAAGAGGAAGGAAGGGGGGTGGGGTCTTGCACAGTCAGCAAACCCAGGGGAGGGAATAATGAAGGAATGTCCTAGCAACAACTGTTGTCTTCATCACATGACTTTTTTTTTGCTTTAATTTCAGTCCACTTGCAGAAAGCTATTTTGTAGAAAGCTCCACAGAAAGAGTACACAAATAGCTGTAGTATGTCTGTGCACTTTTATATATGTGTTTTATATATTGAGCTTCTGCACACTTTGGCCCAGTCACGACCCAAGTAAAAGCATCTCTGTTCCTACTTCCACAAAACTGTACTGCCTTTCTTTAACCACATTATAAAGGTATGTAACCTTCTTGTTCACTCTGAGTCCATCCGCTTTGATTTTTTTACATTTCTCCTTCTCAAGCCTCTGCACTCTATTTGAACACCTGAAGATACATTACCTTGGATCAATTAAAAACAAAAGTAGAGATATGATAAGTTGGGGGAAGAATGTTTTTTTTTTTCTTGCTTGCTTGCCCTGTTCCTTGTCATATTTGAATGTTTTGTTACCCTCCTAACTGTAGGTATAATGAGAGGGTAATTTCCACTCCTTTGCAGAGGCATGCAGGGTGGTTCTGGCTAGCCCTTGCAAGTACTAAAGTAACACACAAAAGTGCCTGAGTAATTTGATCTACTTGCAGCAAAAAATGCCTCATCTCTGAAGAACCTTTACAATTTCGGCAGGGGGAGGGGGGCATTTAAAATTGAGAGCACTCCTGTCCAGGATTCTTTGGTTGATCCTGGTAGGGCTCATTTCCTAGACAGATTTTTAGGACGGTTATACGCCTGTTGATTGGGCTGCTAGCTTGCTGAGCATTCACTTCATTAGGAAGCTGGATTGGTGCAGGTCAGTATCTGACCTGAGTGCTTTGACCTGAGCTTGCATGGTATGTTGTTACAGTCCTCCCTTCCTGAGGCTCAGGCCATTCATAATTGGACATGCTTGTCACTGAGAAATTTTGGTCAAATACTTCCTTTACTTTTGCTTTTACTGTACAGCGCTGTCCATACCCGCTCATCCAGGTCTACTTTTCGTTCTTTAGGGGAGGTGTCATGGTTTAATCCCAGGTCAAACACCACACAGTTACTTGCTCACTCCCCTCCTGTGGAAGAGGGAGAGTCAGAAAAGTTAGAAAACACATGGGTTGAGATAAAAACAGTTTAATAGGTAAGGCAAAAGCTGCACACACAAGCAAAGCAAAACAAGGCGCTCCAAATATCCCCCCTTTTTCTTCCCCACCCTTTATGTACTGAGCATGACGTCATACAGTAGGGGATATCCCTTTGGTCAGTTGGCATCAGCTGTCCCCTCCCAGTTTCTCATGCACCCTCAGCTCCCTTGCTGGTGGGATGGTGTGAGAAGCAGAAAAGGCCTTGGCTGTGTTTAAGCACTGCTCAGCAACAACAAAAACATCTCTCATATTATCAACACTTTCCACACAAATCCAAAACATAGCCCTGTAACATCTCCTGTAAAGAAAATTAATTCTACCCTAGCCAAAACCAGCACATGCAAAGCAGAGGGACAATGCTCAGTACTCCTCATACCTTTGAAAAACTTCCCGATTCTTGTTTCCAAGGCTCTTCTGAGGGAAGGGGGAGAAATGACCCGTCACGTGAACTGAGTTACTGGGATATGTCTGTTAATTATGACTTTGTGTCATTGAGAAAGTAAGGAAGCAGAGATTGCTGATTGTCTCCATGAAGGCTGATTTTAGGGGTTCTGGGTTTCCTCTTCTCCATAATTCATTTGCCTCCTCTGGCTAATTACAGTCTAGTTGCCCTAATCTGAGAACTGCTTCTGCTTGATATGTGTAAGTGCCATAGTTTCCAAATACTCTGTCAGTGCTTATAATACAAATACTGTTATGTTTATATAAATTTGAAGTTTCAATGTCAGTTTTGTACGTCACATACTGAACTAAGGAACAGTAAGGAAAATTTATTATTTCATAAAATAAATCTCTGTGCTAGGTAGTATTTCCAGGAGACTTCATCATAGCATGGGTCACCAGGTGGCACTGCTCTACACAGTCTTGCTACACAGCAATCCTTTGAGAGCATGTCTGGAAATGGGATAAGAACTTCAGTTTTTCTCCTTTGTTTTGCATGGATCCGGAACTGTACACACTCATGTCATCATAACTTCCATCCTACTTCTTACATTGTATGGAAAAACTTTAATTTCTGTTTTAGTTATCAAAAAGATGAGCATAAATGTTTCCAGTGACACAACAGTCAGCATTTTAATGATAACAGAATATGTACCATTGTATATTTGCACCAGCTTAAAACACTAATTTAATTACACTAATGTTTCTGCATTATGACTCGTTCTTTTAAAAGTATCATGTTGCATTTGAAGCCTATCTTCATTTTACTTTTTTCCCTGTTTATACATTTCTCAAAGAGATTTTTCTAGATCTGTATCTTGTTTATAGTATGAGCATTTCCTTATCCAAGTTTTTTGTGCAGTTTGCCCACTCTAAAATCCTTCTTCCCTATTTTTTTAATGCAGCCTAGTTACCAGTGTCTTTATCCCACATTTAGGAACACACTTCTCTGCCACTGAAATTGGCCCAGGTGCTTAATTCCCCTGGGAATTACCTCTGAATCTGAATCAGATATTTTTGGTTATACTGAAGCTGCAAAGAATTTTTCTGTTCCCATGAATGTCATCACTGTGGTGTCTTTGGCAGTTGAGAGGTTGGCCAAATTAAAGCAAGACAGGCTTCCTTCCCAGTGATGCTTTTGAGCTGGGAAGTACTGGATATTGCAACCACATATGAAGCCTGAGAGTGGTTGCTTAAGTAATAAGCAGAGGAATGAAAGTGCATGTCTCACCTGAATCACTAGTGTGCTGTATGATGCTGCTTCTTGCAGTCGGGAAGGTGGGAAGATGAGAGATATTCTGCAGGCAACAGAGTCAAGACAACAGATGTCGATTAACCTAGGAGAGAGTCAAGGACAATGAGAAAGAGGATTAAGGGGTTCCCATCTGTTCCTTTTTTTTTTTTTTTTTTTTTGGCAGCTACACTGGCACCATTCTTGGTATTGTGCTGGGCCTACAAGTTGTTCATGGTAAGCTGTACCTTCTCTTACCCTACATACAGTACCGAGCTGTGATGTTGCAATAAGATTTTAATAGTGATTGTCAGGGAGAGTAGACAGCTCCAGCAGCCACAGTACTTTCTGTGTTCTTCCTCATTTCTTTCTCTTCTATGTTACTGCAGTGGTTGGGGAATGGTAGGGAAGTAAATGGCTCCTTTCTATAAAAGCAGAAATAACTGGGAATAGGGGAAGCTCTTGTTGCAGAAGTTGCTCTATCTCCTGCAGTAACTAGCTTTGCAACTCATCTGAGCTGCTAACAGCCACCAAAGTGTGTTATCTCAACAACAGGGATTTTAGTAAGCTGATCTGATACACTTTTTTGAGGGAGAGAGCCTTATTAAAAAAAAAAGTAAAAAAAGGACCAAAGAAACCCCAACAATTTCAAATGTTCCCACCTGGAAAGATGCTATGATCCCAGGTAAGCACACAGGACTCGAGATTAAAACTTAGTTGGAAACAAAAGGAATTGTGGTTCTTCACTGGATTCAAAGTCTGCTGTGCTGGAAAGTTTCATGGGATGACTGTTACATGAAAAAATTACCAAAATAAGAATCTTTCCCAAATCAAATTCCTCTTCTTTGAGGAGAAATATAATATTTCAGTGCATTATCTCTCTTAATAGGCGCTACAATAAATTGAATAACAATATGCTGAACACAGACATAAAATGTGGCAGGCTGGCTCAAATTCTAGGGGTGCTTATGGAATTTTGCCTAGGGATTATTCTCTTATGAACTTTGCTCATTCCAGTTCCCCTAAATCTGTTTTGGAGTGGGTCTTATTGGCAGAACAAATTCTAATCTGTCATTACCATCAAAAAAGATTAGTGCCATTTGAGAAGAAAAAAACAAAACCAAACCACCCAACTCCTATCAGATTAATTTTTCATCCTTTTTATTGTGCACAAATTGCAGTGAGTCTCCTGCTATTGACATGTCTCTACAAGACCAATATGTCTTACTCAAACTTTTGGCATTGCATTTTAAACTATTGTAATCTCTATACGTCCTGGAAAATATACAGCTTTCATCATTTCTATTGAGCATTTTTTTAATGTACTTTAAAGAGGAAGCACCAGGGTTTCTCCAGTAGCTGAAGTCCCAAGCCTTGGTAATACGTCTAGTCTACTGAATTTACTTTCTAACGCTTCAGTTGTATTTCCAAAATGTATTCTTCAAATAAGACTGGGTAATTTAATTAAATGGTTTTTTAAAGTAAAAATGCCTGTATCTTGGATCTTGCAAAAAGGTGATTTGAAACTAAAATAAAATTTGACTAGTTAAAAAATACTGCAAATATGGAAATGGACCTTGAATTCCCAGACAATTAAGTGAGATCATTCTTAGAAAAGCAATAGAATGAGAAACAATCCCAGCTACATGGCATATTACTGAAATAATTGTCCAAGGTGATTGAAGTTATGCATAAACATGGGATTGTAAAGTCAAGCCTACAGCTTCTCTAATAACTTAATATTTTTTCTGCAATTAAAACTGTGGCTAGAAAGCTTAAGGGGATGGATAATTACTAGCAATTAACAGTCTGATCATGTGAGATGCTGAGGTCTCTCTGCTGCTTAAGAAATTGCTTAGAGCTGTGGTTGCTTACCAGTTTGTAGGTCTAAATCCTTTAACACTTTAACATCCTTAAACACGGTATCTGGAACTGAAGATCCAGATATCGTATATGAAATGGCTGCTGTGGTGCCATGTGCAGAAACAGCATACATTATCAAGGCATTGTCTTAAGAAACAAAACATGCTCTCTTTAATAAACAGAAAGAAAACACACTTATCCATTTTATTTGGAAAAATAATCTTTACAGGTAGTACTCCATTGACAAGCATATCAAGTACAAAATGTTCAGAGGCATTTACTCACATTTAGTTACCTGGATCTGTGTCTGGTCACTTCAATAATATACCCTAATTTAAGAGATTTTGCATCTAATATCTATTCAACAAAAAATAATGGCAGGTTATCAACAATTCGAAAAAGTCTGACTGGGTAAGTGGTTGATTTTCTTTGACCAGCTGAGCATGCACTTGCAGCACACGCTGTGGCAATTATTACCCATAGTACTTTATGTACTTAGGATCTTCCAATATAGTGTTCCTTTTTAATTTTACAGTTTGTTTCAAGAAGCTTGGCCAATGATAATGATAATAGTAAAAAAAGGAAGTTTTAAAAAATTGTTGCCTCTCACCAGAGGCTTTGTCTGTCATGTCTCTGGCACGGGTGCCGCATTTACACTTCTTTCCACTTGGGATGACCTGGAGAGAAACTGCTCTTTTATTAAGAACAGAGATGTATTTTCAAAGCTCTGTGGATAAGGGCTATGGAAAGTAGCTTTCTTCTTTGTCCCAAGGTTTCTCATTTCTATTTACTGAGCTATAAGGGTTATATAGTTTAGGCTAATTCCTAACTATGTTGTGCGAAGACTTAAGAGAAAGATGTTACCATTACAGTTTTAAACACCAGAAATTACATGAGAGGCATGTCAGATGTCACAGGCACAGGAATATTGTGCTCAATATGAGAGGAACTAGGAATTTTTAACTTAAAGGTGCATGAAATCTTACAACTGAAATGAGAAAAGGGGACCAACTTCAAGAAGAAAAGTTATGTAACAAAAGGACTTTCTAATGAAACACTATTAATGAGATGGAGGGATAAAAAGTGTTAGGCAGATTAAAGGATAAATGAATAAATGGATAAAGTTAATGGACAGCTAAAAGAGATTACTATGAAGAATCAATTCAGAGAGACATAAAAAGCTGACACGAGAAGAAAACATGAAAACTTTGGATTAACATCTGAGAATTTTTTTTTTTTAAGGTAGTTAAAATATTAGTGGTAGAGTTTATATAGATTAATTTAATCTTATAAGGGATTTGTATAAAGAATTCAGTAATAAAAAGAAATGAGGTCAAAATAATCAGATCTCATACCATATTAAGGAAATCACCCAACTGAAGGAGAAACCAAACAGTTTTACATAACAGGCACAATGTTGATAATTGAAGAATTTAACATTCATTTTTCACATGTTAGAATTTCAGTTCTACCTGATAACTTGCAAAAATTGAAGTGCACCCTTAAAAGCTGAAAACGCAGCGCTGTAATATTTTCAAGGCTTCTTGTTCCATTTGAATTATGTGAGAACATCAGTGGATCTGTGATTGCTTAAAAGAATTTTAGTCTCTTTTTGCTATTTTTTAATGTATTCATGATTGTCTTCAAGTTTCCTGATTATTTTTAATTATTTGTATTGCCATAACACCTAAAAGCCTAGGTGGCTGTCTGCAAACTGGTTTTGGTAGGTCGTATACAAACATAAAACAAAAGGGATCTAATAGTCTCAGAGATGGTGTTGGTAAGCAGCTGCAGCTATTCAGTATGTTGCAGCCTCTCCCTTAGGCTGCTTCACTGGAGCCGTTTAATGACTATCCCACCTAAAAACATTGCAAAAGAACATATGAGGGGGTTTTGCCACTGCTGTAGCGTGAGCCCAGTGTTTAGTTCGCTTCCCTGGTAGGTTAAATTGGTCTATGCGCTCAAGTGACTGAATTTCAGCTTCACGCTCTAGATGAATTGTCTAACCAACTGTCCCCAAAAGGGGTGAGTAGTCTTGCTGCCCTCTTCACCCCTGAGCAGTCATTCCTGCTTCCTTTGTGCCAACAGCAGTATCTCTATGAGCGCTGTCACTTAAATTAGAGGCGGCTCACAGAACTGAACTGGCAGAAAAGGAGCAGCTCACTGCAGGATTAAACCAGAGCCAGCCTGCTGCCAGAAACCAAATGGGTCTTTCTCCTAGGTGCACTGTTAAGAGGATCCCAGTGGCTCCTGAATTGTCATCCCACAGTGGTGGAGCACAAAATCTCAAGTACCATTCTCAGCCAAAGGGTTAATGCTAACTGTGCAGAGTGAGGGACGAGACATTTTTTAGTTTTGTGATCCAAAAAATTTGGCCATTATTCTTCTAATTGCCCTGGTTGTAAAATCTACTGTCCAACAATGCAGTTCAGATTTTAAAGTGTACGAAAATAGCTTAGGGAAGCAATGCCAATCTGGCTTTAACTTGTACCACTGTATTAAAGCTGGTGTTCTACCTACATAAGACATTAGCTCTCCTGTCCCAAGGGACACTGCAGGATGTCCCTTAAGGCTTGGAGGATGCCATGAAAGGAGATGTATTTGAGGTCTTACCAAACCAGAATGTTTAAACTGAAAACTACAACTTATAAACCGAAATGCATAAACTAGATGGTTAAACTGGAAAAAATATGACGGGCAAAATAGTTTTCTCAGGAAATGAGCTGAGTGGTTTGCAATACTATGAAAATAACGCTAATGCGACAGTTTTTGTGTCAGTTCAGACTGCTGTGGGCTGTGACCTGAGTGCTACATGACCCCTCTCTGCCCTAATAATTATGCAGCCTCAAATTACGCCGAGCAGCTCTTCAGCTCAAGCTACAGACTTTTTATCTCTAGGCAGTTAAAACGGGAGCCATAATAACGTTTTACTGCGAGTCATCCCCGCTGTTGCTACAGATGTAAACAAGGAGACAGTCGCTACAACTGGCAAATTACCAAAGGGATACGGATGATGTATGCCTGGCAAAGCTTTGTCCAACTACTTTCTCAGGTAGAGGAGACTAGTTACTAGCATCTACAGTAGATGGCGGATTTGTCGTTGACAAGAGATGTTATCGCGATAGCGATAAAAACTCAGGCAGGAAAAACAAGCCTGGGGAAAAAAAAATAAAATCAGTCTTAAACGAAACTCTGACTCGGCAGTAGCGCGGCCGCGGCAAGCCCGGTTCTCCCCGCGCGGGGAAGGAGCCAGAGGGGAGGCGGCGGTGAGAGCGCTGCGCCCCAGGCGGGGGTGCCCCGGGCCCCCGCTCCCTGCGCGGGAGCCTTCTCCCCAGCGACCCTCCGGCGCGCCGGAGTCAAAACTAACTCGGAAAAGCGCCTGGGAGCTTTTGCAAACGGGGCAGAGGGCTGCCCCGCCGACCTCCCCATCTCCTTTCCTCCGCCGCTTGGCGACCTTCCTCGCCTTGCGGACCTCCTCCTCCTCCTCTTCTTCGTCCTCCTCCTCCTCCTTCTCCCTGCGCGGCCAGTCACACTACGAGCTTCAGGGAGAGCCCAGCACCACCCGACAGTACGGGGAGCAGAGGACACCCCAGCATTTGTTTTCCTTTGGGGCCCGAGTCGGCGGGGCTGACCCTCCCCTCGGCCGGGGGTGGTCGGGGCGCGCAGCCCGCTCTGGGCGTAGCCCTTGGGCTCCTCCCCGGGGCGTTGAGGAGGAGGAGGAGGCGGAGGTGCCTCGGCCGTCCTTCCCCGCCCTGCGGGTTGACCCAGCGCAGGCAAGAGGAGGAGGCGGCGTGGCCGTGCCCGGCGGGATGCGCGCTTAGCGGCGGCCCCGGGCGAGCGCAGGCCCCGCCAGCTGCACCTGGTGCCGGGGGAAGCGGCCGCGGAGCGCCGCGTCCTCTGCCCAGGCACCCGCCATGGAGAAGCGAGGGGAGGGCGAGCCGCTCTCCCACCCCTTGGAGCCTGAGCCTGAGCCGCAGCCGGCGGCGCCAGGGGAGAAGCGCTTCAGGCTGTGGTACGTGGGCTCGTCATGCCTGGACAGGCGGACCACGCTGCCCATGCTGCCCTGGCTGGTGGCCGAGATCCGCCGGCGCGGGCAGCGGCAGGAGCCCGGCGGCGCCCCGGGCAGCGCGGTGCCGGCCCGCGAGGTGCTGCTTCTGCTGGGCTCGCCCACGCTGCGCTGCGTGCCCGCCGGGCCCGCCAGCCCCGGCCCCGCCGCCGGCCCCGGCCGCCCCGCCAGCCCCGCGCCCGCCGTCTTCATCTTCGAGCACAAGGCGCAGCACATCGCCCGCTTCATCCACAACAGCCACGACCTCACCTACTTCGCCTACCTGATCAAGGCGCAGCCCGACAACCCCGACTCCCCCATGGCCTGCCACGTCTTCCGGGCCACGGACCCCAACCAGGCGAGTGGCGGCGGGCGTAGGGGAAGGGGGATCCCCCCTCTCTTGGCTTCTCTCCCCCTCGCCGGGCGGGACGCCGGTCGCTGCACTCCGCAGCCGCGGAGGGTGTCGATGTGCTGGGGCGGGGCAGGGAGGCGCCTGCGGGCGCTGCGGGACCGTAACGCCCCGCACGCCCACCCGCGGCGTGGGGGGAACCCGCCCGGGGCCGGCCGTGCACGCTGGGCTCGTCCCGCGGCTGCCTCTGCAGCTCAGGCGGCTGCAGCGCCCTCGGGCTCCCCGGAAAAAGGGGTGTGCGTGGGGCGGGCACACAGTCCCGCGTGGCCGCGGGGTGCTGTGCCACTTCTGCCCCGAGCGCACGGAGCACCCCCCGCTAGGCCGAGGATACCCATTCTGCGAAACGCGGTGCAGCGAGAGATGGAGCCCCTTTCGTTCCCCTCCGTGGGGAGGCCTCGCATCTCAAGGGCAAAAGCACAGAATTTGTGTTAAACCGTCCCTGCAGTGGTGTTAAGCGTCAGACAGGAACTGAATAGTGAGGATGGTGGTTTCCCGCCCACCCCAGTGGTACAGAAACCATCGTTCGTGACCAGTGGGCTCTGCTGTGCTCCCGGGTCACGCTAAGGACACCTGCCCGTGCTCAGGCACACGCAGTAGTGCTGCAAACAGCTCTAGG